TCTCGAATATCTAAAACAGGGTGGAACCTTCTTCCGACTTCTTGCTCTCCAGTCAACATTGATCTTCAAAATTTCAAAGACAATCATTATCTTCTATCTTCGTAATTGCTGTTCTTTTATTGTCCTTAATGTTTTCTTTTTCCCATATTCTTTTTACTCATTAACCACTTGCATCTTAGTGGCTTTATTGCCTTATTTTGTTATGAAGTTTAAAATAAAAATATGTATTTATGTATGCATGTTTTAGGTGTCTATTTGAGGAAGAGAAAAGGATAGGAATTTTCTTAAACATTGTATTGTATCACCTCATGTCCTCCATAGCTTCCCTGAAATCAGCTAACCTGATTAAAATTTATGAGCGTTCCCAAACTTAAACATTTTGAAAAAGCAACATATTTTTACTGTTGTATATAAATCCTTGTTACAAAATAAAATTCTTACATTTTCATGAAACAATCCCTCAGAGGGCGAAACGCGTCGACTAAGATAAGTTTTACTTTTGTCTTTATCCATATTTTCCATTTTATAGATATACTCTATTTAAAATTTTTCATACACAGAGAGAGTGAGAGATCGAAAGAAAGAGATTAAGAGATTAAGAGAGAGAGAGAGAGAGAGAGAGATCTGTTGGTATATAATCAAAGTGTATCCTAATAATATAAAAATTAATTTTAAACCAACTTCTATTTTATTTTTTAAATTAATTTAATCCTTACAAATTTTAAGGCCTTGTGGTGGAAATCATAACCATGGAGTAATCTTAAATATCAAATTGTATATATATATATATATATATATATATATATTTTGATATATATATATATATATATATATATATATATATATATATATATATATATATATATATACAAATGGTTTTCTAATATATAGATTATTCACATCAGTTAAGATTAGAAATATGTAATGTCCGTTCTTTGATAGATGGTTCCTAGAGTCTATTTTAGAATATTTAAAATACAAATTTTGCTTTGTTTAACGTTTGAAAGATGCGAAATCCTTTTTTTGGTCAATGACTGTTTTAGCTAAATGGCAGGAAGCAGGATCAACAGACATTTTTCTGCTTGAGGTTTTTTAATCAAATCCCCCACTCATACACAATAGAGTCACCAAGACGCAAGGGGTTTACTGAGTGTTAGAGAATTTGCGAAAAAAAAAAAAAAAAAAAAAGCAATAAACGAGAGAATATTAAAAGAACAAGGGATTAAGAAGACAGTAGATAACGATTGATTTTGCATTTAAGTTTTTGATGATCAAATTTGACTGTGAAACAAGATCATCCGGAATAGAGTTCCACAAGTGAGAAGTGCGATAGAAGAAAACTTTTAGCACACTGGTTAAGGTTATAGAACAACCATTTCGACTTTAGAATAACGTTCCTTTCTTCCAATTTAGTACTGCGCTTAAATTCGTAAAGTTCTAGGTACCATTGGAAAGTTAATCAGATGTGATGTAATTTATTTGGTCAATGCTCATCCTTTTTACTGATAGGCTGACAATATCACAGTATTTTTCTTTCTCGCTTTGAATGACCAAATGTTTTATTAAATTCAAAGAAAATGTTATTCTATTGCAATGATGTACAGAATACAGTAGACCTGTTTTGATAGAATTTGAATACTGTTGAATTTTTTCTTTCGTGAATGATTTAAATTTCGTCATAGGAACTAGAAAGGGCACAGAAGTTACCGTTTTAGTAACTCTGGAAATAGGCGATGTCCTTTCTTTGGTCAATGACCCTCTTAGATGACTGTTAGTAAGGAGGAAATAAAACGGCATTCCAACAATGACCATCTTCGTCTTACGGGATAAATGTAGAAAAGGGAAGGTCATTCAATTTGATTAGAGTCCGAAAATTTTTGAGATGTTATTTTGTTAACCCATTAATTTCATCCTCTTTTGACCAGATGTAGAAAATACAGTAGCATGCTCTTCGGTTAAGTTTCAAAAATATGTTATGTTCTTTTAATTGGGCTAATGGTCTTCTGAGTCTGATGGTAGGATTTAAAAAGAAACAACAACAATTTCCAAAAAAATTGTTTATTCAAATTTATTTTTTATTTATTTATTTATTTGTTTACAACAAAACAACAACAATTGCCTTTTGGAAATAAAAGTCTTTCTCTTTTATTATCGTTTTCTCTCCTTGACCAATGATTTGCTTTCGCTATATTGAGACATCTCCCTAAAATAAATAAAGAATAAAGAAAGCAATGAAGAACAGAGAATGTAATTGCTTTATCCAGGATACACCTTCGATTGTACAGAAAGATATCTATGTTTTATCTTTGGCTTCAGACAAAAATTACAAAATTATTTATCATACCGTTTATTTTATATTTCACAATTTTCGTTTTTATTTCAAATATTTAATTACTTGAAAGATTTTTAAACAATTTTGATGGGAGAAACTGACGTCCCGTTTTTCTAATGTATTCTTCTAAAAGGTTTATGTTTATACTTAATTATTTTTCTATATATAACGGCATTAGAAACTCGAATACATACAGTTGCTCAATTAAAATAAGAGATTGAACTCGTTACATATGTTAAAATAAATAATTTTGTCAACAAACAAAAATATATCTACATAGATGACATGAGAACGTGTATACAGCCCCAAGAGTACAATATTTTTCTATAAAAAATATCTAAGTTGCATGAAGACTTTTTAAGGTGGTAACCCATCCCATCTTCCTTCTTTCTTGTAGACATCCATCACAATAAAATAAACCTTTTTCAGCGCTAAAGCTGAATTAACCAAATAAACACACACACACACACACACACACACACACACACACACACACACACGTCACACACATTTTGCGTGAACAAATCGTATTTATTTTTTCAATAACTGAAAAAAAAGAAAAGGTTTTTAAAGTTATTTTGACTGCAACTGTATGATTTTTTATATATATATATATTTATTTTCAGTTTACTTTTTATTTTATTCATATCCCGACAAAAAAGCCGATTTTATTTTTTACTAGCAGTAGAGCCCGGCGTTGCCAGGGGATGTAACAGTAAGAGATAGATCAAGTATCGACCATCATAAAGACTGAAAATTAAAATTGGCAAAGATTATTGTTTAAGGTTGACGGACACGCATGTCTTAATTAGTTCTATTTTGATTTATTTTTTTGTCTTTTTTTTTTTACGAATTGGTCAAACCCAAACTCAAGAAAAAACATTGTTTTCAATCGTTATGAGTCTACCGATTGAATAGAATTTTATTATAAACAATTGTCTTGTAAATGGAATTTTTTAAAGCATTCTTTCAAAAAGAATTGTGTTTTTCCAATTTTGGCGCTGTCAGAACCACCGCAAGGTAATTTTACATAGTCCTGTGAAGTTTTGTTGAAGTCGGTTGAAAATGTAGGAAATCCGATCCCATATATAGACACATTATTTATTGTACTATGTATAAATGTGGCATAAGGCCGAAAAGGGGCTGAGGGAAAGGACGGTCATCACTTGTCTTAAAATAAAACTTAGCTAGCCACAACCACTGACCAAATCATACTAAAACAATATTCCTATCACCAAAAACAACACATTTATCCATACCTTTCTTACTACATCCACCAAAAATGCCTCTTTGACTCAATGAAAATCCTAAATACAACCCCTTTATGTACAAATATTGTCTGTGGGGGGGGGCAAAACAACAATTTAAAAAAAATCCCCCAATGAGTATATACAATATGTCGAAATATATTTACAAGAAACTAAACAAAATTAGTGTTAGTATTAAAACCCCCACAAACTTTGTATATGGCAGAAATATCAGTTAAATGGACGAAATCGATGCGTTGACTATGAAAATAAGGACACATTCAAACCGTCAAGCACTCACACAAACACTCACTCATCCATACTCAACAACAAATACGAAAGCACCTGCACGAAACGAAAGGCGCCCCGCATCCACCAGAGAACTGACATCACTGACCACCTAAACGAGGGAGGGGACGGGGAGTTAAACTAAAGGAAGAAAAGTGGGGACAGAAATAAAAAGGGGACCAATGAGCAAACACACCCTAGCTAAGTTTATCAGAACAGGAAAGAAAAACTAAACGAAAAAAATACAAAATCCTACTCTAACCTAATTTCGGGATGGGTTGCCCATGTTCAACCCAGGAAAACAATATCCTGAGGCCCAACTGACATCAAATGCCACTCCAAGTCAGCCCCTTTATACGGCACAAACGTACACAAACGGCACCTCTCTGACCTGCTTCGCCTACTGATACACTCTGGCGCGATCCCATTTCCGCGGTTGATCCGCCCTGTGGAGTCGCATCACTGTGCTGCCTTGGCCCTGTTTAGGGACTCCGTCTCGCCTGGTGATACACTTTGGCGCGATCCCGTTCCGCGGTCGATCCGCCCTGTGAAGTAGCATCACTGGTCTGCCTTGGCCCTGTTTAGGGACTCCGTCTTCGCCTGGTGATACACTTTGGCGCGATCCCGCTTGCGCGGTCGATCCGCCCTGTGAAGTAGCATCACTGGTCTGCCTTGGCCCTGTTTAGGGACTCCGTCTTCGCAAAGTGGCCGCCAACTACGTTGGCGCGATCCTAAACGCGGCCAGACCCGCCCTCGACCAGACCAGCTACGCTCACCTACCAATCCTAAACTACCAGGCCAGACCAACTACATATTCGACCGGACCAGCTACATTCTACCGAACCAACTACGTTCGCCACCCAAACCTAAACTACCGGGCCAGACCAACTACCGGACCAGACCAGCTACAATCGACCGAACCAGCTACGTTCGTCGATTAACCAGTTTTCGGACCACACCGATGTAAATGTGTGAATAAAAACGACGTTTTTGTTCATAACAAAACCTTTGCCTTTGTCCCGTCATTGTCTTGGCTGTTCACATTTATCGTATACTAAAAAACCTTGCGGGGGCGACATCCTACTCGGCCCCGCAACAAGTGGTGACTTCCGACGTGAGACAGCTAAGCGATGATGGAGTCGGCTAAAAGTGATTCTTTGGACATGACGGCTGCGATCATACCTCTGCCTGCATACCACCATAATGCCAAGAACTGGTTCTTGCAGGTGGAATCCATCTTTTCAATGCTACGCATTACTTCACAGCGAGCCAGATTCGCGAATGTAATGCAGAAACTCCCATCTGATATGATGGACGAAATTTCTGATGTCCTCTCCGATTTGCGCGAGCATGAACCATACGATCACTTAAAGGAAGCAATCCTCAAGCGAACCGGACGTTCCGAGGAAGATATGATCCAAGAGATACTGCGGAACGTCACTAGAGGCGACAAAACGCCATCCCAGCTTCTCAGATATATGAGGAACCAGCTGGGAAAGCACAACGTATCAGAAAAGGTTCTTCGAGGTTTATGGCTGGAGCATTTGCCTAAATCTGTTGCTCAAATCATCGCACCAATGACGAGAGCCACGCCTCTGGATGATTTGGCAGAATCTGCTGATCTTGTTTTTGCACAGTTCGACCACAGCGTTAACGCTGTTCGCGCCCCCGACATAGCAAAGCACGAACGCTACGAGCCGAGTAAAACGGAACGGGCGTTGGCCGACCTTCAACGGCAAATTCGGGAGCTCCAGATCTCCCTGCGCCCGCGGACGAGGACATCGACCCCATCTCGACGGAGACGAACCCCAGCCGAGAACGGCGAAGCGACCAGGGTGTTTGTTGCTTTCATCGCACATTCGGCGATGGGGCCAGGAATTGTAAACCTCCCTGTACACACCCGTCGGCCCGGGGAAACGAATAAACCGGAGAGTCGCGACGACTAACTCTTCCGGTGCCAACACGCAATGTCGTCTATTTTACGTTTGGGATCGACGGAACAAGTTGAGATTCCTAGTGGACACAGGTGCGGCCATCAGCGTGGTACCCCTTCAGAACGACCACACCGCTAAGCCCACCCTGGTCAAACTACGAGCTGCGAATGGTTCCGCGATAGACACGTACGGAGAAAGGACCCTTACTTTGAATATCGGCATGCGACGCGATTTCACTTGGACATTTACCGTGGCCAACGTGAAGGTACCCATCCTCGGCGCGGATTTCCTGGCGCATTACGCACTGGCGGTCCATATGAACCCTAGGACTCTGTCCGATACGACGACGAATCTCCGTGTCTTAGGTACCCCCTACACGTCAAGGCTCCACAGGAATCAGCGTCGCAACATGCCATGGTCGCGAGTACTTAGATCTCCTGACGCAGTTCACGGATATAACGCTGCCACTCCAAGTAACGGCTTCAGGTGACCATCAGACTCAGCACCACATCAGAACCCGAGGTCCTCCCGCACACTCCCATCCGCGACGACTCGCTCCGCACAAACTGGCGTACGCCAAGGAGCAATTCGACAAAATGCTCAGTGATGGCATCATTCGTCCTTCCGATAGCCCTTATGCCTCGCCACTACACTTAGTGCCTAAACCTGGTGGTGAAGAATTTCGGATATGCGTCGACTACCGGAAATTGAATGCATCGACCGTACCAGACCGATATCCTGTCCCTCATATCCATGATTTTGCATCCGGATTGATGGGGGCTCGCATCTTCTCGAAAATCGACCTGACAAAGGCATACCACCAGATCCCCGTCGCTGCGGAAGACGTCCCAAAAACGGCAGTCACAACACCGTTTGGCCTATACGAATTTCTAAAAATGCCGTTCGGTCTACGTAACGCTGCCCAGACCTTCCAACGACTCATAGACGAAGTCCTGCGCGGACTTCCGCATGTATACGCCTATATCGACGACATCTTGGTGGCCAGTACAGACGCCGATTCTCACAGGACAACACCTGCGAGAAGTCTTCCAGCGACTCTCGCACTACGGCCTGAAGTTGAACCTGGACAAGTGCGTTTTCGGGGCGCCCAGCGTTGATTTTCTCGGGCACCGCACCGACGCAGACGGCATAGCACCTCTGCCAGACAAGATCAGCTCGATCCGGGACTTTCCTACACCGACGTCCATGAAACAATTGCGACGTTTCCTCGGCATGCTCAATTTTTATCGTCGGTTCATACCAAATTGCGCTACCATCCTCCAGCCACTGACGAACCTGCTGCAGAGAAGAAACAAGGACATCTCTTTGGAGGAGATGCTCTGCACGCATTCCATACAGCGAAGGCTGCATTGGCGAATTATACCAGGCTCTCGCATATCAACGACGATCCAGAGACACGACTATTCCTGACAACCGACGCATCGGACGCTGGTGTGGGCGCGGTGGTTGAGCAAGAGTTCAACTCACAACGCGAACCCATCGCATTCTTTTCAGCCAAGCTTTCGCCAGCCCAGAGAAAATATAGCACCTTCCCCGAGAGCTGCTGGCCATTTATCTGGCCGTCAGGCATTTCAGGCACTTACTGGAAGGTCGAGATTTTACCATCTATACCGACCATAAACCGTTGACAACCGCGATGAGTAACAACTCTGACAAGTATACAGCTCGCGAGATCCGGCATCTCGACTACCTGTCACAGTTCTCGACCGATATTCGTCACATAAAGGGAAGGACAACGCCGTCGCAGACACATTATCGCGAGCGGAAATTCAATCTCTTCAGACCGGCGTCTTGGGTCAAGATTCCATAGCCGCTGAACAAAAATCCGACCCCACGCTGCAAGACGTCCTTTCGAATACTTCTTTAAAGCTTCGGGAGTTCCCTGCATCCTTCAGCGACGACACCCTGTACTGTGACACCAGCCTAGCAAGCCCTAGGCCCTACATCCCACCGACACTTCGGAGACAGGTATTCCAACATTTCCACGGGCTGTCTCATCCAAGTAAGCGAGCTACGGTCAAAATTATTACCGACCGATTCGTTTGGCCCAATATGAATGCGGACATTCGAGAATGGGTTTCCACGTGCATGGAGTGCCAGAAGTGTAAGGTCCACCGACACACTAAATCCCCCGTCGGCACCTTCAGCAGTCCCGATGCACGGTTCTCACACATACATGTCGACTTAGTGGGACCGCTTCCGATGTGTCAGGATTACCAGTATCTTTTGACGGTTGTGGATCGTTTTTCGCGGTGGCCGACCGCCATACCTATAAAAGACACTTCTGCTAACACAGTCTCTAGGACCATCCTGAAAGAGTGGATTGGAACTTTCGGCACGCCCCACGTTATCACGACCGACAGGGGGTCACAGTTCCAGTCGTCCCTTTTTCGGGAGTTTACCAACCTACTTGGCGCCAAGCACATAAAGACTACCGCTTATCATCCGTGCGCCAACGGCTTAGTTGAGAGGTTTCATCGGTCCCTTAAAACCTCCCTGGCCACTAGACCTGACACTATCAATTGGGTGGACGACCTACCTTTAATTCTCCTAGCATTGAGGAACACCGTAAAGGAGGATTTAGGTTGTTCACCCGCCGAACTGGTTTTCGGTACACCTCTTGCGCTACCCGGCGAATACTTCGACGACTCCCTTCAGACGTTTTCAAAACCAACATCTCCTTTCGTCGAGGAACTCCGCCACAAAATGGCCCGGCTTAAATATGCAACTCCACGACAGCAACCGGTGAATTCGTACATCCCTCAACACTTGCGAGATTGCAAATTCGTTTTCGTACGGAACGACGCCGTGAGACGACCACTCACGCCGGCATACCAAGGTCCTTTTCAGGTTCTTCGACGCACCGACAAGCACCTTACGATCAAGCGCGCCAACTCGACCGACACCATCGCAATCGATCGGACCAAGCCTGCTTTTCTGGAGAAGCGACAGTATGACGCAAACCCGGCTCTGCGGCCCCCTAATGCTATTCCAGCGCACCCATCAGACGCAGCACCGCAGACATCAAACGACACCCCAGCGACTCCTGTGCGGCAGACCCGATCCGGTAGGAGGGTCACTTTCCAAAGACCTTCGTAAATATTATTATTATTAATTGATACGATCAATTTTCTGGGGAAGGGCCTTGTCGCGGTCGCCGATTATCCGCTCCTTACAAAGCCGACCTTGACCTTCACAACTCTCGATCTCGCAGATCTAGGTCAAGCAACAGGCCAGAAACCGGACGGCTAGTCCAATATCGTTGATGTCAAACCATACCTAGTACGCATCTGACTATGCTGAGCCATTCTAAACATCGGCAACCATAGACTATAATTTATTATCTACGGCCTTCTACTCCCTCTAGCCAGGGAGTACTTGAACAAATCTTTTTTATATCCTTTAGACACTTTTTTTCGCCCAAACTAGGCAGCTCGGCCCGGAGGCCGGATTTGATCCTTCCCATTGTTTTGTTTATGGTTTTTTGGATTTAAAAGATCGAAGTGTAGTATCTGTTTACCAGCTTTTTGGATTACCTTACTTGGATCACTGTTTTAATTTCCTGGATTTATTTACCAATTTGGACATTGTTTGGCACAAGGCAAGTGGGAAAAAAAAAAAAAAAAAAAAAAACCTCTGCCTGCCAAGAAAAAAAAAAGAACTTTTGCATTGGTGAATCTTTGTTTTCGCCAGAGATTTCTTGGACAACGTAAGTCGTAAACAAATACGAAGTTTTTTTCCTTTGTTACTTTTTTACTTTTTCAAAAAGTCCTTTTATTTTTCGTTTCTCTCTTTATTTTCTTATTCTCTTTTGTTGACTCGGCATTTTTGATTCTTTCTCGTTTTTATACCCCAATGGTTTTAATTTGAAGTTTTTCTTTTGTTGTTGAAACTATTATTGTCTTTGGTTTGCCCCCTTCGTTTTGTAATTTTATTTTATTTTATTTTGTTCTTAAATAATATCTTGTCCAAACAAAGAAAAAAAAAAAAAAAAAAACCATTTGAAAAGTTTTTTAAACTGTTAGACTGTGGTGGAGTTTCCACCATGGTCGATAATGACAACATAGACATTCCGGCGACACCGGTTCCAGAAACGGTGTCGCCTGTCTTACCGGAATCAAACCTGGTCACAAAATAGGCCGCTCCAAAAGGATGGCACATTTTATGCCAATCAAAAAGAAAAATTCGAGGCAACTTTTTTTTAATGGAAATGAGTTCCTCACGATTAAGGAGGCTCTGAACGCAGTGGAGCCGCGTTCGATTTTTATTTTTGCTGACTTCCGACATTAAAACGCGGAAGTTGGTTGGACATGGTGGTTTTTTCCTGGAAGGGGGAATGTATGGACAGGAGGCCCTGAAATGTCTACAGATTAGCCGGGAGAAGGTGCTGGTGCAAGAAGGACGAATGCCTTATGGGACATCCTTCTACAGAATGAACAGCAAAAGGAGTTGGCCATGGCAGAACCTAAAAAAGGCCAAAACTGGCGAGAAAGACTACAAACTGAATACATGGGCACCTGCAGGACAGAAAGTGACCGTTCACGGGGTGCCCGTGGATATCTCCGAGGACCGGATGGGGCCTTCTTCACCAAATATGGAGAGGTGAACGAAGTGAAGGCCCTCAGAAGTAGATCTGGAATAGAGACGGGAGACATGGAAGTTCAGATAACCCTGAACAGAGCGGCCTTCAAGGACGTCCCCAACACGCTCACCTGCCGAGACAGAAGGATGCTGGTCGTGGTGGAAGGCAGAAACCTTGGTGTTGGTCATGTGGTGTGTCGGGCCACATGGCGAAGGAGTGCCCCAGCAAAAAGGGCACACAAGTTGCACCACGACCGACACCGACAACAGCGAAACCAGTACCACCTAGTGAACGGGGGAGGGACTTCCAAATCTGAGGGAGAGTGGAAGGAGGTAGTCAGAGGTAGGAAGTCTCCGAAAGTTTCGTCTCCACCCCCAAACAGAGATACCTCAGCCTGAAAAGGTTGTACCAAAAAGAGGAAGGGCTGCAGTCAACAGAGGAAAGCCAGCAGCAGCAGCCCAAAAACAACAACAACAACAACAGCAGCACCAGCCTAAACAAGAAAACAACAGAAACAACTGAAACAGCAAAAAGAGCAGCAGCAGCAGCAGCAACAAAAAAACAACAGCAGCAACAACAAGAGAATGAGCAGATGGAGGTGGACAAAATACCTCCACCTCGTGCTTCATCCCTGAAAAGGTGCAGGGAGGAAGACGACGACGAGGAGGAGGAACCAAAAAAACAAAAAACATTCTTTCAGTAGCAGGGCGGAGGAAGGCATGGAGAGATCCAGGTCGCTCTCCGTCCCTGCTTCACCAAGAAGATCGGTGGCTTCGACCAAACCTAGGAGCCACCCTTCCTCCCGTCCCGTGCTCCAACCCCTCTCCCTCCACTTCCGCCTCCCTAGACGCATCGGCCACCCCCCCAACACATCGACCTCTTCCCCTCCCCATCCTTCCAGAGAGAAAAAAAGAAAAAGATGTTCAGGCCCAGAATCCATTTGCAAGGTGGACAGAAACGATTTTAAATGGGGCCTGTGAAAAAAAAAAGGGCCATTCTTGGGGGACTATATAAGATGGACTCCGTGGATGGTAAAAAGTATCGAGGACCCCAGAAATTTCCCTCAGGCCCCGGGGTGTCATAACCTGTGTGAGGGAGAAGGGGCATTCTTGAAGGTGTGGAACCACATCTTCGAAGCAAAAGAAGCCTTCCCCGAAATCAGAATCGTGGAAACGGACAATTCCTCATTGAAAAAATTAAAGAATTTTTGTGCTGGGAGGGTCCCCGTTTTGCTCCATCCCTCATTATATAGGGCCATAAAAACTAACCTATCCCACGGACGTCGGCGGGGATTGTCCTGGACGGTCGTATGACGACCGAATTGGGAACCGGAAACCTGGGACAGGCCGTCGGGGTCCTTACCAGCGCAGATTTCCGCCCGGTATGTGAGTAGGCTTTTTGCATGTTTTCTTTTCTTTATTTTTTGCAGGCCTAAACCATGTCTGTCAAGATAGCGACGCTGAATGTGAATGGCTTGAGGGATCGGGGTAAGGCGGCCCGCCTGCTCCGGGATCTCCTGTCGTTCGGCGTGGATGTTGCCGCGATCGAAGAGACCCACTTTGTTTGCAGTTCCGATGCGTGTGTGCTGTCTAACGACTTTGTCGTCTATTCAGCATATGGGGACCGAACTGCCAGAGGAGTGTCTTTGCTGGTGAAGCGGACTCTAGATGCGAAGGTGGACCTTGTGCATACCGATGCCGAGGGACGGTTGATCGTGGCCGATATTGCCGTGAAAAAGTGGTTCGTTTCGGGTCGTTGCGGTTTATGCGCCCAACGACCAGGAGGAGCGGGTTTCGTTTTTTCGGCGGTTGGGGCCTTTCCTGGTGGATTCCAAGCGTTTAGTTCTAGTGGGGACTGGAATGCCATCCTGGACCCCAAGATAGATCGGGGCGGGGTGCTAGCGGGAGAAGGGGCGATCGTAGCCTGGTCGATCTGATCAAAGATTTCGGTCTCGTTGATAGATACCGGGTCGATCACCCCGGGGAAAATGTGGACGTGGGCTCGTAGCTGGCCTTGTGACAAGGTGGTTAGCTACCTTGACAGAATGTTAGTGAGAAGGGCCGACATAGATCTGTTAGATTGTCCCACGTTCCACTGGGTAGGCTATACGGACCACAAACTCGTTTGTGCCCGTGTGGCGTTAGAACATAGGCCCAGAATGGCTGGTTACTGGAAGTTCAATCTGTCTTTACTGGACAGGCGGGACTTCCGGGAGCAGCTGACTAACTTAGTGCAGCGGGAGCTAGTGGGGGCGGTTATCGGGAATAGGTGGTGGGACAGACTTAAATGTAGAATTAGGTCCTTCACCACTGATTTCAGCAAACGGCTCGCCCTAGATAGAGCTGATAAGGTGAGGACGCTTAAAGCTAGTCATGCCCGGGCGGTGGCTGGGGGATCCCCTAGAGATAGCCGTAGCTAAGGAGGCCCTGCAGCGTTTGAATAGCGAACGCTACATGGGCCAGGTAATTAGACATAGGTTAAGCAAGATGTCTTCCGAAGCCGTGAATATGGGCGCAGATTTGCGCAGGGAAGAGGTCCGTCGAGGTGGCGATCGTTATATTCGTGAAGTCGAAACCCCGGAAGGGCGCACCCTTCGGGCCACTGACGACATGTGCGAGGCGTTTTGGCGGCATTTCGAGAGCTGTTTTACCAGGGAGCCTGGTCTTCGTGAGGACGAGTTTCGCAGCTATTTGGCTGACTTTCCTCGGCTTTCGCCGACTGAAGCGGCTAGCTGCGAGGGGGAGAGATTACCGAGGGCGAGGTCTACGCGGCTTTGAAGAAGGTCGGCAGAGGCAAGTCGCCCGGTCTGGATGGTCTGCCCTATGAAGTGTACTTTGAGGCTGTCGCACACCTTTGTCCCGATTTTGACTGTGGTGTTCAACAACTGCTTCTGATATTGGTTCCTTCCCGACCAGTTCTCCAGGGGTGTGATCATGCTGTTGAAAAAGGGCAAGGGTAATGGGGGGAAACTAGACGACTACAGGCCCATAACTCTGCTAAACACAGAGTTAAAGATTTTGGCCAAGATCCTGCAGGAGCGTTTGCAGTCAGTTGCCGAGTCTCTGTTGGGTCCCGAGCAGACCTGTTCTGTGAGGGGTCGAACAATTCAGAGCAACCTGCATTTGATCCGCACGATCATAGAGGGTGTAAAAGACGACGAGTGTGCCGCGCTGATCAATTTGGATCAGTCCAAGGCATTTGATAGGGTTGACCATCGCTACCTTGCTGCTGTCCTGCAGGCCGCCGGATTCGCACACGACTTCTGCCGCTGGATTAGCCTCCTGTATCCCTCCCCCAGTGCTGTGGTACAGGTGAACGGGAAGCTGTCGGGTGCTTTTGCGCTGTCTAGGTCGGTTCGTCAGGGTTGCCCGCTGTCGCCCCTACTTTACGCTTTGGCGTTGGAGCCTCTCCTTCGCCGGCTGAGGGACAGGGCGTGCAGTCCGGCCCTACATGCGGAATCGCCGTTCCTGGAGGAGCTCGAGCCAGGGTTTCTGCGTACGCCGATGACGTATCTGCT